AGCCCCAAATACATCATCACGAATAAAAAAACAATTCTCCTCATGCTCTGGAAAAATACGAGCAACACTGCTCCAAGTAGTCTCTGGTGAGCAGGTAGAGCATCAGAACCAATTCTGTGACAACGATACATTAATGTCAACTCTATAAATTAAGCCACTCAAAATCGAGACTGATTACAAAAGTTCTTAAAAGAATTCATTTAGAGAATTGTTTAAGAATCAACAATACCTTTTAACATTCTTTTTATTTTCCCTGTCTCCAAATTTTATTCAAAAAGCAATAGATCGATAGAATAAGAATTAAGGTGTGGGATGTTCACCTCCTCCATCTGATGTGGTAAGCCTGTCACCCGGGCCTTAACAACTGAATACGCGTCATCGTCGAATTTACTATTCGAAAAATCACAATGTTGAGTCTTCATTCATTGGTATGGATTGTCATATCATAGATGAAAATTCCACTCACTACTACTCTTGTTGACCGGGGTCCTCACTCCTCAGATGAGGCCTGGCTTGATGAAGCTTCGAGGAGGTTTGGATTCGTTTCAGTAGTATCACATCTGACCCAAGCCAAATAGTGTCCTAGTAGATATATATCATACATCAGCATCATGAGAGATATACAAGACATTTGAAAAGAGACAAACCTTCAACGGCGGATATTCCTGTATGAGTCACGGGTCCCTCCGATTCCACCGAGTTCATATTGAACTGTCACACTTGCTCCGACGTCATTGATCAAATCGGGATCAACCAGGCCGTGCAGAAGCGCATGCTTCGTCTTCCTAAGCGCTCCTTCATCTTCATCCACATCCATGTCAGATGGTTGCGTAGCTCGACTTGAAGCACAAGTCGTCTGTCAAACAGTCAGTGAGATTCAAGTTGAAGAGATACTTCACTTTCTCGCATGATTCTCGTCTGCATTCCAATATCACGTCTGCAAAACAATCGAACCACATGAACAGCCAGGTATCTGACACATATTCATAACAAATTATCAGATTGAGAGAAAAACTACGGATCTCTGGAAAATAAGGGACGTACGATGATAAGCGAGAAGATTTCAAGCTTTGCGTGACTTTCCAAATTCACTCTGGGTTTCCCAAAACAGGTTGATAGTCCTTGCAAAACCTTCACAACCACAATAAATATAAAAAGATGAATCTAGAAATTCACAACAAATAGTTAACTTAAAATTGAATGTCTGTCAGAATTGGATCTTCTGGCTTCAACAATTGCGTTTGTGATGGTATCTTCATACCGCATTATAATTAGGCATTGTTGCATTGATCAGGAATAGGAAAGACAACACGCATTTTGAATAATTCAACAGTAGATGAGCCAGAAATCGCTGAAGTTGCCCCGTAGCACTTGAATTGGACTCCGGATGGCTAGATGAGCATCCAATCTATGCATGTAAGACAACTATGATCATGAGTTCTGTCCGAAACACAAACATGAGGTTCATGTTTGATCAGTACGTCGACGAAGGAGACAGCGTACGAAAGAAACGAGACCTAAAGTGATAGGATTTAACAAAGTCTAAGCACGGCTCTCTGATCGGAGTGAGACATAGAACCGAATGTGATTTCCATCCAAGTCATTCACACCAAAAGTCAACGTTCCCCAAGGTGTAGCACGTAGATGATGTTGATCAGCCACGATTCCAGAGGTTTTGATAGTCTTATAAAGTGATCTAAACTGCTCTTCATTGCCATCTGATCGGATATAAACTATCCCATTGCCTCCTGCTCCCACTGCATTTTCTTCGGTCCCTTTTGCTTCTTCATTCACTTCGCCTTCTGGTCTTTCATAACGTGAAACGAACCCATGACGACGTAGATAAACATTTACTGATCCTTGTTCGAGACCAGTGAATGGGTTGATTGCGTTCGAACCATGTACCGTTAACCAACAATGATCATTAGAATCTCGACCGGATAAGTAAAACGGTAAACGTTCAGTATAGAATTTGATCGATTCTTCAATCGAATTAACATGAAGTGTTGGAATCACTCTTGAAAACTTCAATCCCTTCCAAGCATCGGGTGTCACTGGTCGCTTGAAGGTGGCCATCTCCTTTCTCAAGTTGAGCGAGGAATCAGTTCTTTTTCCTGATGTTCACGACTGCTAACCGTTCGGTGAAACCAGTTGGTCAGGAGTAAGAACAAGCTGAGTCTGCCAGAAAATCTCCTTGGTTAACTTCTCTTCTAAACTCACAATAGGTCTTATATAGCCAAATCACTTATCATAGGTTGATCGGAAATGAAGCAGCGGTGTTGACTCACAGGGACGACAACGTTTGTCCTCACAGCCTCAGACGTCAAGATAGGCGATATGGGGACCGGACCCGGAATTTGGCCGGGTATCCGAAGGATGCTTTGTCGAGCGTCCGTCGGATCCGGATGGGAATTCAGACAGGCCCTCGGAGCCATCCGCAATCCGGATACTCCGGCCGGGTTGGCAGTCGGACGTGGGGAGGGAAACGGGATATCCAAGGGATATATACAGCCGTTTCAAGAAAGGTTGACAACTTTTTTTGGAGAAAGCTGTCTCCGCAGCGGGTAAAACCAGAGACAAAACTTGATCTACAGGTTTATTCTTTTCTGTATTCTTCCAATTAGCGGGGAGACAAAATTGGGTGAGGGACAAAACAGGACAAAACCCGGGTTTTGCACGTTGGCAAGATTTTCAAAAAAGATCAATCTTTGTTGAAATAGCTGTACTTTGTATTTGGCTGGCGTGTATTTGTAGATAAGAAGTGATGAAATAACAAAAGTGAAAAAATGCTGGATTAATTTTGTGCTTCAAATGTCTCAATTCACCTTGGGATCGCTCTATCCCGACCCCCCTTGTTTACTATTCAGACCCCCCCCTCAACCCTAGGTTTGCTTAGGTCACCTTAAGCACCTTAGGTTACTTTTGAACCAACCATCAATATGCACCAAATCATGATTTCACAACCATTGTATTGAGCACTTCTTTGACAAGTGCTATCTCGTATTTGACTGGCGAAGAAGAGGACCAACTGGAGTTAGTTCTCCAGAATTGCTCCTGAGCAATCCATGAGCCCAAGCTATTTCAAACTCAAGGACGACCTTCACTCTCCTTAAAACCCCACAAGTGGCTCATATCCTGTCATGAACATGCTGAAGCCGAGTTGTTTGGTTCAAACAGTAGCCAATGTAAGTCATGAGGTGATTCAGGCTGATTCATCTTGAATCAGCTCAGTCTCTATCCTCATTTATCCCCCAATTGTTCTCCCTGGATCAAATATCAGTTTTATGTTTATCAAGATAACTCAATCACCATCTTGACTACATGTGTTATCTTGTTTATCTTTGTTTGCTCAATCATAAAGATGGAGTTTGATGCTGTCCAATCTGTATCATGTTCCACTACCAGCATTAAAGCGGTTCCCAGATGGGAATATGGGTTGTAGGAATCAGACAGCCTTTGTGACTACATACATTACAATGGTGGTCTGATCCCTACAACCCCATATTCCCATCTGGGAACCTCTTTAATTCTGGCAGTGTTTTGTGAAACAAAAGTTGTTCTCAACTTATGATCCTTACAATTCATCACCCACAATTGTGAAAACAAATGGAGTGAGTAGCTTCTGAAACTTCCTCCAAGGGAATTCATGATGTGTGATTAGATTAGATGATTGAAGAGGATAACATCCTATAACATCATGTTTACAATTTATGTGTATGTTGATGACCCGCAAGTTATCAATCTGGAAATATGTATTGTCTTTGTTAACTTCAGAGCACTCAGCATTCATCTTGAGATTTGAGAATGAGCAAGTGGAATGAATCGTCCATTGCCAGCCATTGCCTGTACTGTACGTAGGTAAGGTGCTTAAGGTGACCTAAGCTGACCTAGGGTTGAGGGGGGGTCGGGATAGAGCGATCCTTCACGTTTAATGTATTTTTCACAAATGTATTTTGGTTTTATCTATTTTTCTTTTTTTCTTTTCTAAAAATGAACTATGTTACATACATCATTTGACTCAATGCAGAATGATACATCATTGATCTTGATGTCATTCATTTGTAATTTCATTTCTGTGTTTTCTTTATAACCTGATCATCATGATCACTCAATGGGTGGTGAGAATTGTCAACGTGGCAAGCACCGAATCGGAGGGAGGATGTGTATCTGGAATCGGGGACGGGGTTTGGGGTTGACCCAATCCACGGTGCAATCAGGTTTGCTGTGCTGCACGTCAGCTGTATTTGGGGGGGGAAAACACAAAAAAAGTGCAAACATGACATCAATTTCTAGAATAGCTGTAAACACTGGTCAGATAGATTTTGCTTTTCCTCATCTGACTGTATCTTTTACAAAATCTTATTATAAGATCATTGTGTTCTATTTCTCTCTCTCTTATACTAAGATTTGTATTTTGTATTTGGATCCAGTCCAACAAAAAAACTTGAGAGTGAGTAGTGAAAAAAAACTAATTAATCACTATCCTTCTCCATGTCATTAGTTTGGTGTAATTGTATGAGGCACAATAGGAGATTGCCTTGGTCCATGCAAACAAAACTCAAGGAATACCTTTGGCATTTTCTGAAGCTGACCCTTAATAATTGATAGATATAAACATAACAAAGTCTCACACCTGCTGAGCAAGGCCGGCGTAGGACTTTGTTAAGTTTATAATAGATACCGGATTGGGATATATCAAATTCCAGACAGGCTACTGGAAGAGGATAATATCTCATAACAGTGAGTGGTCAGCTGACACAAACAAAGTACCATAATGTGAAAGTAGCCACATAGATAGGAGAAGGATCCCCTTTCCGCCCACATACTCTTATATCCTTCATTCCTGGTTCCTCCATTAATTACCATCTACTACAAACTTTACTTATAAGCTTTCTATAACCAACCCTTGCTTCCTTGCTCTGTGGACTTGTAAGTAAACACAAACACCCAGTTTGGGGTATATCACCAACCCCCCATTATGTTGTTCCTGTCTACCTGGTAGTCTTGTCTAGGTGTTGGGAAATCCTAATCCCATGTCATTAATAAGGACCCCAACAAGCCGCTTTGTAAGGTTTCTGGAAGAGGGACTTTTTTGAAAAACCCAATTGGATATTCTCCAATTGGTACAGATAGAAAAATTATCCATTGGTTTGGTGCTTAGATGGGGCTGAACTCACCCAATACTGATTGGTGCCCATCTCGACTCAGATGGGTTTCTGACAGATCTCATTGCCTGACTGGACAACTTAAGGCTTAAGTCTATGAGCTGTAGTGAGGCAGGACCCTGTATAGTGCCACCCCAGCCCCTGGAGCCAAAATGCAATTTTTGACCAAAACGTTTGTTGTGAAACTTGGAGCCAAATTGATCAAGTTTGCTGGGGCCTTGAAGCCAAAACCACCAAATTTTTATTTCAAAATTTTATGTGTGTGATATTTCAAACTGAAACCTCAGCAATGAACAAAGTCCCACGCTCGCTCCTTGCCAATAATCAAGCGAGGGACTTATGACAAAGTGATACACTATGGCCTGTGAGGGGAAAACGTTCTTTCTTGCCTAATAAAACTTTTTATCGCATTTGTGGGTTTTCTTGGACCAAAGGGAACCTATATCGCTCCTTCTTAGACGCTCATAACTGTCCAAAAACATCCTGAGGAATGTGAACCACTCCTGGTTTTCTTTGCTCCAAAGAACTGTATTCACATTGTTTTTGTATGTATCTGATCCCTTGTAAATAACTGCTGCAATCAAAAACGCATGCCAGATGCGCTATTTCACACCAGTTTTGTGAGCAAAAAAAAGATGAGGGGGTTGAGTGACTGATTTTTTTTTTCAAAAAAAATTACATTGCGGCAGTGGTCAAAACCAATCAAAAATCCCTTTTTCAGGGTTTGTACTCTCTGTATTTCCAAAATTAGTACAAGACAAACAAAACTTGGTCAAAAGGAAAACCAGGTTTTACACCATGATATACTTTTCAAAAAAAAGAATGATTGCCCTTTGTTCAAAAACAATTGTGCGCCACAGCAAACAAAACTGGCCCAAAACAAATACAGGTGTTGAGAGTCATGATCATCATGAGCAGTAAACTTGCTCTTGATAGGACTCCTGGTGATCATGTTGGTCTGGCAAGAGATCTACTAGCTTCTTGACAAGTAGAAGTCTTCAAGGAACACAGGATTGGAGGCTGTGAAAGGAAACTCTGCTTTTCAAATATGCTTCCATACACATGGTTCTCACCACATTTCTTTTATATTTTGATGACAGGAGAGCTCCTAGGATGTATTCTTTGGTCCAGGAACTCAACAAAGCGGATTACTTGATCAGCTCCACCATGATTGGCAGCGTAGAAACCTCACTTGAAGAAGGTCTATAGGCTGCCAAATGGCTCATCTTATGGTGGCAAGCCAATCTTGCTGCTCAACCGCTGGGCTACTGACCATCTTGCTGTATGGCGGTATGGATTACCTTGTTATCTATCAAGCAAACCAAGTCATAAAAAGAAAAGAGAACTGATCATATCTGCATGTATGTATGCAAATAGTTTTGACTTTTGAGTCATCAAGGTGTAAAAAGATATTGATCACAAAGAATTCATTTTTTTTGAAACAAAAATAATTCCAAGAATGATCCAAAAACCTTTAGATCTCAAACTCCTTCATGATCATCTCCCCCCCAAAAAAAAATCAATCTACATATCCAAGAGCTTCCCCTTTTCTTTTTATCTATTTTCTTTCCTCTCACAGTACAACCCTAAATTTAAAAAAAACATATACAGCCATTCCTTAATCTGATTGCTTCACTCACAACTTTTCTTCCAACTCTTTCAACATTTTCCACAATTTTTACATTTTTACATTTCTTTTGTAACCAGCCACTCTGGTGTCTTGTAGATACTTCCTACATTGCTCAAATGTTCTATGGGAGGCTCGTAGTTCCACACCACAAGAAGGGCTTCTAACAATGAATTATCTAGGTTAGCCTCAATAATACCCAGGATTTTGGTAGAGCATTAGAGCCTTATAAGTAACACTGCCAGGATTAAACACTCTCCCAAATGAAACCACATATCTTGGCAATAATCAATGAACATTTATTGTACTATGACAATAATTATTCCAAAAAAATCAAAAGTTCTTCCCGATTTGGAGGGTGTTTAATCCTGACAGTGTAGGTGTTTCAATGGTACATCACCCAGAAGTTTAACAAATCTCAAGTCATCAAAAGACCTCAAACCCTACAAAAACAGCTTAGCCTTGTACATGTAACCCAGGGCCATACCAGTGGCTATACAAGTACCGTATATTGTTCAAGACCTACTGAGACTTTGTAATGAATTACAAAAGAAAAAGGCAAATGCAAAATTTGTTAAAAATGTTTAAAAAAAAAGTTTGAAAGAGAAGCCACCAATTTAAGGAACAGCTGTAAAAAAACAATTCTTCATATTCTTCATATTTGTAGAAAAAACAACCTTTTTTGTTTCATCAAATCTTCATTAATCCATTCCAATTCCAATTCCAATTCCAATTCCAAAAAAACATTAAATTAAATCAAAATAAATATCATCAGATTCATGATCAAAAGAGTCTAGAGTCTAACACCAAGAGAGAGAGAGAGAGCAAGAAAGAAAGAAAAAACATAATGACAACCTTTTCTTCTCTTCTCAAGAAAAAAACCCACAAGTCAAGAAGATAACTCTTTCAAAGAGAGAGAGAGAGAGAGAGAGAAAATGGGAAAAGAAAAGAAATCCTAAAAAATTTAATACAAATCGTCATGAGAAAAAAATGATGATGATGAATGATGAATGATCAAAATTAAAAAAAACCATTAAAAAAAAGTTCATTTCGTTTCGTTTTCCTTTTCGTTTCTCGTTTTAGAATCTTCTTACCAAACCAAATTTGTTTCAAGTTGAAAAAAAACCAACCCTCAAAAAACCCTCCAAAAACTAACCCAAAAGTAAAACCTTAATCTCATTTCGTTGTTCATCTTCCTTTTTCAACTTTTCAATTTTCAATGTTCATGAATTTTCAAGTTTGAATCACTCTTAATCGATTTTTCTTTTCAATCACCAATTTCAACCTACAAAATTAAAAAAAAACCAAAACCCCCCATTAAAATCAAAATCACCACCATTCCAAACAAAAAAGAAAACCAAAAAAACCAAGGACCCACACTTCATCAATTCCAATCGAATCATTTCCATGATGATGATGATCATCATCATCATAACCACCACGACGATCTTGATCTTGATGAAACTTAATCGATTGATCAAACCGATTTTTAAATTCCAAAAGTCCATCACAAACCAAATCCAAAACCCTACCTACATACATACCAGTTTGACGATCCTATATAAAAGCCAAACCAAATCATCAAAAAAAAAATCAAAAAAAATCAGAAGTCAGAAAACAAGAAAAGAGAGAGAAAGAAAAAAAACCACTCAACCTCAAGATCAATCGAATCAATCGATCTCCAAATCCATCTCAACCTATTCACCTCATCTTTACCCATCCGATCTCTTTGTGACAAAGTATGAGTCAAAAGATGAGAAAGTGTCAAGAGTACAGGTTGTGATAAACCAGCACCAGGAGCAGGGAATTTAAAAACTTCTTCTAATTCATAAACTTCAATCAATTCATCTATTCTTAAACTTGATTCATTTGATAAAGCCGACAAAAAAATATCTTCATATGATCTTATGTTTTCATTCAACTTTGGATCTTGGTTTGTCATTCTTGGGATTGTTGTAGTAGGTGCTTGGGTTGGGATCGGGATGTTTATTGATGGACCTGGTAATGGTGTAGGTGGGGATGGTGATGAAAGTAATTGATGGATTTCTTTTTTAATCGTCTAAACAACCAAGAAAAAAAAGCATTTTCTCATCAATTCAACCTTCAAATCATCTACACACACATCTACACCCTCCCCCCCCCACACCAAAAAAAAAACAATTCACCAAAAAATACTCACTTCTTGAACTAAATTTAAAATCTCAGGTAATACTTTCCTTTCAATCTCATTCACAATCATTTCTTTTAAAACTTTCTTTAAATTGATTTCTAATGAATTCGAAATCAATCCAATCAAATTCATTTGTCTTTCATTCTCCATAATCTTTTCTTCAATCTTTTCTTTTTCAAACTTGTTTTCTATCAAACCAAAAAACACAATAATCCATCATCAGTTTTTGGTATATATATGTGTGTGTGTTCAACTAACCTAATTGGTTCACTTGACTCATGAACATCTTTCCCATTCTTTCGACTAAACTCTCTTCAAGTCTTTTCAAACTGGTTTCATCAATTTGATTCACATGTGTTGCATGACCAACCAAAGCAGAACTGCCATCCAAAAACCCATCATGTTCTCGACTTTTACCCACTTCAACACCAAGAGGATTGTTACGTAAAGAACTGGTTTTATTCTTTTGATGAATCGAATTCGAATTTAGGATTGGTTTCTTAACTCCAACCGGTTCAATCACTTCGATCCTAGTCCTTCCAATCCTCTTGACCTCCATCAAATCATCATCTCCTTCTTTCCTTTCAACCGATTCTTCTCTAACATTCACATCTACCAAGATCTCACCTGCCAACGATTTCCTTCGACTCATCCCTCCTTGATGTTCTTCTAGATGATCTTCAATCTGATCTTTCGATCCTTCAAACCGTAAAAAGTCGTGTGGTAAAAACAATTGATGGATCCCTTTGGGATGAATATTAAAGGTCGAGATCCCTTCGATGCTTCGATTCTTCATCGATCCTTCATCAATCACAAACGAAATGATCGGATCAGGTGTCGAGATCTCAGCGATCCGTTCCACAAACATTCTTTCTTCACTCGGTTGATGTCTTCTACCTTCAATATAAACCGAATCCTCTTCAAGTTTACCTCCAAGCTGACCCCCTTCACTTTTCTTCATCTGATCATTCTCTTCATCTTCATCTTCTTTAACTCTCAATTTAAATCCATAAATCGATCCTCTCAACGAATTCGAAACCAAAATCGTCGAATCTTGTCCTAACCAATTCGAATCCCCAAAACATTCCGATTCCGATCCCAGATCTTCAGGTACTAAAAACTCAATCTGAACCTTGGCTTTCGAAATCGAACTTAAACTTACAATCTCTAAGATTCTACCGGAATCTCGACTGATCAAAAACCCAATCGGTTTCTGACTCTGAACACTCGTAAGAAATTCAATCTTCGTAATCGGTTTCGTTCCACTTAATTGTCCTCCCATAATCGTCCAATGTGGTTTTAACGTTTCTCTTACAGTGATCAATCCATCTTCTGTTACATAGGCAAATGCACTTCCATCTGGACTAAAACAAAATCCAACAACCTATGATACCCCCCCAAAAAAAATCACAAAAAAAAAATCATAAAAAAATCAAGTTATATTTCTGGCTTTTTTGCTAAACTTGAATTGCAAAAAAAAAACTTACATGACTATTAGTGTGAATAATCTCTTGACCATCAAACCCTTCGATCTCCGAAATCGTTCGACCCATACCAATACCCCTCTTCCACATCCCCAGAAACCCAGCACGATCCAACCTAACCAAAACGATTCGTTTATCATTCGTAGATACCAAAAACACACTAGATTCTTTAGGATGCCATTTCAAATTAACAAACTTTAAATGATCATCTTTCAAAATCAAATCGACCAAGACTTCATAATTCGCTGTTTCTTCTTCAAATCGATTCGGAACTTTCCAAATCACTAATCTTCGATCACTTCCAATACTTCCAATACACCGCCATCTTTTTCCTTCATGAGCTTTTCCTATTGACATATCTATGACGACTCCTTCGTGTTTTCTTAATAACATTCTTGCTCCACTGATCTGATCAATCACTCTGATCCTTCCTACTTTAGTAGCATATGAAATAAACCCATCCACAGCTACTTTCTTTCCATTTGAAAATTTAAAGACACTTGGGAATAAAGTGATCGGTATGATTTTAGAATCTGATCGATATAAACTTTCATAATTAGCTGATGAAGTTGAGATTGTTATTGATTGTGGTGAATGTGATGAGCTGATCATGTTTTGGTTAATGATCCGGGTGGGATGGTCAGCTTCGATGATGGGTTGAGTGGTTTCTTGGGTCTTGAGCTCGTTTAAGAAATTGATGGCCATGTAAGTCGTCGTGATCGGTCTTGGAATCGGATCAGGAACAGTGGTAGTTGATCCTGGTGTTTGAGCTGCTAAAGTACTAGAAGGTGTTAAGGTCTGGTTTTGAGATTGGGTTGGATCTTGAGGTAATTGTGATGAACTTTGAATAGGTTCGGCATTTCTAGGTGAAAGAGGACCTGAGCCTGGATTGATAAATCGATCAGTCGTCCTACTAAGCTCAGTTTGATCTGGACTGATGATCTCAGTCTGATGAGGATGAGACGGAAGTTGGTTTGAACTTGATGGAGAACTCATCGGAATAAGTGGATCCGATTGAGGATTGAGAATAGGAACTTGAGCCTGAATAGATGAGATAGGTGATAGGGTGGGAGAAACATGATTGGAATGTAAGGTCTGAGTGATCTGATCCAAGTTAGTGATCTGACGTAAAGTAGAATGAGGTAGTTTGTGATCTGGATCAGATGATAAGGATTGCAAGAGTGAGATCTGATGAGGAGTACTTGAAGGTGCAGGTGAACCACTTAGGAAATCAGTAGATTGAAGAAACGTAGTAGGAGGTGGAGTGGATGTGATTGGAGTGGATGATGATGAAGATGATTGATTGAGAAATGAAAAATCACATTCGTTTGGTTTGGTCATCAGAGTAGGAGTTGAGATTGAGTTTGATGAATGATGATGATGTGGTTGAGTGGGTTGATGAGTTGGACGTCTGTTGAGAGTGTTGAGTAATGCAGTAGCTTGTAAGGATGAGTTAGGTTTGAGATTGAATGGTTGAGTTTGTTGAATTGAAGAAGTAGTTGAGATTGTATGATTGGATGATAGTTGAGTAGGTGAAGGAATAGGTGGTAAACTGAAGTTAGGTGGTGGTAATGGTGGTGATGATAAGAATTTCAAACTGTTGGAATCAAATATAGCAGAATGATTAGAAGGAGTGGTGAAGTTAGAATGAGAAGGTGAGAGTGGTGGAGTATGGTCATGATCATTAAACAAATCTTGATCAGCATAACTCAAGATAGATGATAATCGATAATCAATCAATGACATCTTCTTCTTGTTCTTGTGATTATTTTGATTTGATTACTTTTTGGTAAGATTGATTGGAAAATGAGATCAAGTTTGAAGAGTTAAGGTGGACTTTATGCAATCCATCACTCACTTGTTTGTCAATTGCATTTCAGGAGTTCATCGATTCAGTCCAGTAGTCATCCAATTCATCAATCAATCCAAAGTTAATCCAATCAAATTTAAAAAGTTTAGTTCAATTCTCACTGACTAATGATGATCTCCTACCGATCAACTCAACAGGTTCATCAACTGATCAAATCATTTGGCTTACCTTTTCTTCTTCTTCGATCCTTCCAATTCCATTTCCAACTCTAATTCGATTGATGATGATGATCGATTAACCTCCTTGGTTTGAGTCTCCAATAAACTCATCACATTCATCATATCTGGACAATGGATCTCTGGTTCATCAGTAGTAGTTCCAGTGCTGGTTGATTTGTTGATCGAATTCGCTTCTGGTGCAGGTACTGGTACGGGTACGGGTGATGAACTTTGACCAATCAATCTAGAAAATAACTCGTCAATCGAAGATGGTCCTGCTAGTCCTGGTGATTGGATAACTGGTTCTGATGGATTTGAAGTGATTTCATGATTTCTGATCTCGTTTGATGATTCCATCTTTCTTGTTTTGAAATTTACTTGATCGATTTGTTTGGTTAGGTGATCGTTGGTTTTGATTTGGTTGGATTTGAGTGATATTGAAGTTCAAAGTTGTTTCTTTTCAATTCTGAGACTCAGACTGAGACTCAGTTTACAAACAAACAAACAAACAAATACAGCTTTAGCCTTCACTTACCCGCCACCTTTCATTAACCATACATATCCATTTCATTAACCACAGCCGAGCAAACTTCAAACCCAGAATGACATCATCATTTCATCTTCCATAAACCTTTTATTTCTTCCTTACAACTTCAAATCCTCTCTCAAATCAAATCAAAAAGTACATATAACAACAACAAACCAAAACATAGAAAGACAAAGTAAAAGAACTGTCATATGTAATTTAAGAAGACTTTTAACACCACAAAAAGAAAAAAAGAGATCAAGAAAATCATAGAACAAGCCATTAAGAAAAAAAGAAAATCAAATGAATGCCGATTGATTAAAGTCAATCAAATTGAAAACCTTCAAAATAGTCACGGTCATGGTCACGGTCACATTCAAAAGAGCTGATCGATTTCAACTTGCTGGATTAAAACTTTCACCATAGGTTTCTTCAAGTTCAATAGCTCTTTCAGTTTTATCAACAATAGAAGGAAGTGACTAGAAAAAAAAGCAACAACCATCATCATCAAAACATGTTTCAACAATCCAATCAAAACTCAAAAAACAAGAATCACTGACGGTTAATAAGTTGGATATGATTAAACCGGTGGTGGTATAATCTTCTTGTGCTTGTTTTATATTAGTCACTTCATCTACTCCGCCCAACAAAAAAAACAACACGTCGTCAACTTTAAAAAGTCCAAACCGATTTTCGAAGCCAAGCAAAGCCCGCAAGTGTTTAAAGAACACACATGACCCAAAAGATAAGTTTCTGGTTCGTTCGACTTACCATTAATGATTTTCCAACGATTTCTAGGATCGATTTCTTCCGAAACTTTCAACCAATCATCATTAGATTCCAACCCGTTTCGAACCTGACCATCCAATTGGCTTCGATGTTGATCGACGGAACTGTTGACCAAACTTATCAAATGGTTCGGTAAACCTTTTCGTTTACGTGAGTTATCGACTGCAGCTTCGTTGACGGCGTATTGTTGTCTGACAACTCTTTCGGTTAGAGAAGCATCGATCGGTTTGGTTTGGCCTGAGAGTGAGGTGGTGGTGGTGGTGGTGGGTTTGGTTGGGTTTGGTTGAGGTTTGGACAGTGATTGGAAGTCTGGGGGTGCTGGGATTGGAAGACCTGAGATTGATAAGTTGGGTCTCATGAGTTCAATTGTATGTTTAAGAAAAACCTTTTTTTTTTTGAAAGAACACAAGGAATAGAAAAAAAAAGACGAAATCTTTAGTGTGTGTGTCTTTTTTAACGAAAACTTGGGTTGTGTTTTTGAAGAAATTTGTCATCATTTTAACACCCAGTAAGAAACAGATAAAGATCTGATGTGAAATTTTTGAAAGAAAAAAATTGGTTAAGAAGAGGGAAAAAATTCACTTACATCAAAGATGACTTCTTCAATCACTTTAGCATCTGAACTACCTAATCTGATTCCATTACATAAACAAGATTCTTCTGTATAAGTTTTAACTTGACGAGTTAGTTTTTTTATAAATTCATCGTATTCGTTTTGATGATCGAATTTAATGTGACTTTGTTCTGAGAGATTGTTCATTTAAGGGTTTTGATGATGTTTGGATTGGGTTTGAAGTCAGGTTGAAGTGAGTTTGGTGAGTTGATTTGGTGTTTGATTTGGTGTGTGTGTGAGTTGAAGTTGAAGTTGAGAGTCAGTTTGCAGAATCGCGAGTGAATGACAGTCCAGACTTAAAATTTAGAAGTTTAAATCGGTACATACACCACGGTCCACGGGAGGGTTCTGTGTCCAGCTACGGGCCTACCCGGTCTGATAAGCGTCTCGCCCAATAATGGCCCGCTGACCGACATTTTTTTTGAAGTGCTTGATGGCTTTCACTGGGTTCATTGATCTCCATGTAATTGGGCTAAAGGTTGTCGAGACAAATTTTCCTACATAGTCCCTCAGTCAAGAATGCTCATTGCTTTCAAGCACATTCCTCTGATGATACTAAGGTCGCGTTCACTTAAGCCAGATTTCGTGAAGTCGCATTCCGAGCAACCACTTTTCTACATGTAGAAAAGTGATTTTTGTAAAAAAAGCCCAAAATCCGCGTTTTGTCAGAATTCGTGAAAAATGATGTAATAGCCGTGTTCAAACCTGACCCGGTTTCAAAAAACCCAGTTGACCCAGTGGACTTTTTGGCTGGAAGCTGTCAAGAACTGTCAATGGATACACAAAGTTACCACCAGAAGAGCAACTGGGTAACCGAGTTTTTGTGTCAACCGGGCTAGGTTTGAACGCGGCTAATGAAGCGTTTGATTTGATGATCATTAAGGACGGTTTTCAAATCTTTGAAAACCAGAACGGTCTTGAGAGTTGCAATGAACAAAAAAAGGTTATGAGCCTTTGATAATCCAAATCATCCCTTTTTCCAAGTTCACATCATGTTGAGTTCCTCCGATTCCGACTCTGACACGTCCTCTATATCCATTTGACCCGCGATTGCAGTTCTCAAGATTATCATCAAGGCCGGAATTGATTACATTGCTTCAATAACCACCGAGAAAAAGCCATGTCAAACATCAAAGCTTTGAGGAAATCAATATACAAATGAGATCCTTGAAGGCAGTGACGTTCGGTTTCCAGAACTTTGTCAAATGGACAAACTTGCCTTTAAGGGACTAATCAAAGCCCTTGAAGGCAAGCATGTCATCCACTGCAAGCGTAGTGTTACGGTGGAAGAGCAAATAATGATCTTTTTATATATCATTGGAAACTCTGGCTCCAATCGAGTTGCCGGAGAGCGCTTTCAACTCTCTGGATATACCATCAGCTGTTATTTCAACAAAGTCTGCCGGGCCATAGCATCTCTCGAATCAATATATATTGTCCAGCCTACCGGAGGAGAGATTTGTCCAAAGGAGATTAGGAATAACCCACGGTTCTTCCCATACTTTGAGAAATGTGTGGGTGCCATCGATGGCACCCACATTCCTTGTATTGTTCCTGCTGACCAACAACCAGCCCATCAAAACCGCAAAGGGGATCTTAGCCAGAACGTTCTAGCCGGGTGTTCAACCAACATGATGTTCACATTTGTTTACGCTGGTTTGGAAGGATCTCATGCGGATGCTAGGGTTCTTCATCGAGCACTTGAAGAACAAAGATTTGTAGTTCCTGAAGGTGAGAAACTTACATTCCTTTTTTATACTTTGATATTGATCTGTTTGTTCAATTCAGATCGCTTCTATCTCGCCGACGCTGGTTATGCCAACGTACCAGGTTTTTTAACCCCTTATCGATTGGTGCGGTATCACCTCAAGGAGTGGAGGAATTCTTACTTGACACCACAAAATGCAAAAGAACTTTATAACCACCGACATTCAGCACTTCAAATTGTCATTGAACGTATTTTTGGTGTCTCAAAAATGAGATTTCCAATTCTGGCTTTGATGCCATCTTATCCTTATAAGACACAAGTAATGATTGTTGTAGCGTGCTGTGTCCTACACAATATCATCAAAATTGAATTGGGCAAGGATGAATTTTTTGCTGAATAGATGTTGAAGGAGTGCTTGGAAAGGAGAATGGCCGATGATGGTGATCCAGATTGGGTTGAACCTAACCCAAATCAGCGGACTCAAGCATCTGAACATAGGGACCACCTTTCTGATTGGATGTTCTGTGATTTTGTTGATGCACCAGCGGCGCGTAGGCAGGTTTAATACTTTGAGGCTCATTATTTTAGCAAGATTTCAATTCAAATCAAATCATCATTATATGTGTATTACTTTATAATGTATATTCTTTATAATTTGTAAGATACATATGAATACTGTAGTTTTTATTTTGTAGGATACAAAAGATGAAATGACAAAGTAAGATAGTTAAATGAAAGATAAAAGGTATGAAATGAAGAAATATCATTACAAGTTAAACGTCAACTATGAATTAGTTTATCCCATTCAATCATCCAATCACTCAATCCCTCAATCATCCAACTATTTTCCAATCACCCACTACCATTGTACACCTTCCCCAACCATTCGAATACTGCACCCTTATCCTCTGCTACTCATTCAAGACATCAGTATGACCGCTGTCCTCCTCCATCAGTCACACTGGCACTGCACTCACCGGATATACTTGACCCAAAAAGATCATCCGCTCCTCTCTAAGCTATGTCACGTCACTTGCCCTAGCCCTACATACCCAACGCTAGCCAACCTTGAAAGCCTACACTGTGCATACTAGAACGCTCCCTCGAGAGTTTCCAATCTTTACGTATGTACCCTTTCCTCTTAATTTTTATTTTTAAGCCATCCAAATCTTTCTCAAGTACCCCAATTTCCCTCACCTGACGTCTGTACTTGCCTATTCTTCTCTCAAGAGGACCCTGGATTTCGTCACACCGCGCATCTGGGTGTACCACAACCCTTCATTTGAGCCTCAATCAACCCCTTTGACATTCCTACTGATGCAATCAAAGCATCCGCCGTAGTTTGCCACTTTCCCCGTACTATTTTTTTGACCCAATTAATCTCCTTGGACATCCTCTACCTCCTACCTCATTACCAAGTCACAAACCACGATTTACAATGAAGCCCGTTACCCCTCGTAGCAAATTGCACATCATCGCAGTTATTTCCACATAGCCTTTTGTCATTTGTCAACACTTATAACTTACTCCTTGGCCAAGTTACTGCTCTATTCTAAAGTGTTCTATCTCCCTATTTACCTTACTCCTTTACTGTCCCCCATATAGTATTCTACAATATAATTCCAAAATGTCCTTTGACACATTATCAAACACCAACCGCTTAGTCTTAATTCGCAACCGCTATTTCCTTTACAAATTCATCCTCCAATCACTTTGTCCTGACCGTGGTCCTCAGTGTCATGTTATCACCTTCCACAAGAACTCTCTTCCAACCATGGAGACTTTCTCTTTGATCAACCTACTCACCAACTCCCAACATAACAACGTGCAGATGCAACCCATTTATCCCACCATCTTTGCTCCACATCAAATCCGGGATCTGTTACACAATACGTCAGTACTCATTTTGCTTTGACCGCTCGCAAGTCATTCCTCCCAATTGAACCACTTTGCCCGAGCAGATTCATCCCAGCATCAATCTTTGCCGCGTATGCAAAACCTCCTCGCGTCTTGACTTTAAACGGGCTTGAACTTTTAAAGCAAAATAGTCAGTTACCCAGTCCTATTTCCCAAACTCGCATGATACACATAGAAGCTCACTCCTGGATTTGTATGCTATCAGTACACACAAAACAACATTACCAAGCGCATCTGCTTAATCATCCTTCCTTAATCTACAACCATAATTTAATATGTACTGGAACCCTGATTCTCGTGGTTACAATTGAGTATCAACGCCGTGGTTTGCCACACGTGCACCTGTCGTATTTATGTTCTACTCCTATGGACCTGACGTTCAATTGATGATGCACGCACACTCTTAGCACATACATCGTAGCTCCAAAGAAATCACCACCATCTCAGTTCCCTACCATGTATATAGGTCTACTGCTTTCAATCCGCACACCGTTGTATCAATTTCCAGTCAGATGTTGTGGTAACATAATCCCACATAGCCATCTTATACAAAGCTACGATTCTAGCATTGTCCGTTTTCTGATACTTGGTCACACCATTTGTAAACAATCCAACCTAACTTGCCGTGTTCCTCATTCAGCAATGCTTGAAGCCGTCGAGATATGTTCCTACCTGTGCAAAGCCAACCTCGCCAGGCGTTACCTTTGATTTTCGCGTTGAGCCCCGGCCCTAATTTCGTTTGTACAACCGGACGTCTCCAGCCCAGGTTACGTACAGGTTTCGGTACCAGCCTCAAATTTTATTCGGAAACCAAATCATGAACATACCAACCTACCATATCCGCCCGCAGCCTACCTACCCAGAGTAAGGTCCGATACAGCTTACTGCTCACAAGAAAACCGCGAAACCCGATGATCCGAAATACCATACACGATGTACCCCCGTACCCTGATCAAATCAAAACCTCGGCTTCCCTTATCATACCGCAAAACAACAGTATCCTCTTCTATCACAATTCCATAGACCACGACTCCCAGCAATCAAAACCAACGGAGTCGGCGACACCGTATAGCCACGTGAATTCACTATACTCTACCACTCGAATCATTTAAGCCCCCAAAATCACGACTCACTAGCTGCCTAAGATAAGAAATCCAACATTATAACCCAGATCACATTCAATCTTCCCTAGCAGCGGACAAACCGACTACGTCACAACTCCAACATTCACACATCAAACGATGTAACTAATTCATTATCATCAGCCCCAAAACAGTGTCGGAATTACTTGAGAACGTGTGTCCACTTGATCCTCTACGACCTCGGTGTCATCAAATGCTAATCCCATCGATTGTAACTCCAACATATCACAACCTGCACATTTCTATTCCCCATGATAACCATGCCATTTTTAACCCCCGATCAAGGCTACCAGTCGTGTCCCAGCGGCCGAAACCATCCCCCATACCCTTTTAGTCCTCTACTAGATACCCGCCTCATCTATCCAGCTATCGTTAATTAGTGAAGATTCATTCCAAATTGAACTACCGATAGTTGCAATTTTCAAGATATATACTACCCCAGAAAATCAACCATTTAACTCAGATAGCCGGCGAATTGAACTCGACAAGCAGTATAACCCCTAAATGTCTACCGTAGTAATATCAATAAGTACTAATTTCATATTGTAATAACTTTCGAAGCTAACTCCACGCCATACATGACATCATACCATCAGCATATCAACAGTTTTTCCCTATATAAGCAACTCATATTTAGAGATTGGTTCATCCGAAAACTTCAAACCCAGCGTACAATCACAACTATTCCGTGCACATCTGTAAGACTTCGTAAGGATTTCAACCTAAACTCACTCCTCATCAGTGTCCTTCAATATCTAACAATAGCCCTTTCATTGTCGTTATTCCGTCGTTCCTCCCATCAATCTTAAATTTTGAAGGCCGGCGCTGTAACCTTTTCAACTCTAACTTCTTAACCTAACTGTGAGTTATTCCTAAGGTCCTGACTATTCCCCTGCGAGCACGGGGCACTTTTGAACTGCACTATCACTGATGTATCACCGGGTTTGGCTATAATAGGCTATAGCTATAAGATAGATGGCTAACCCCAGCGATTCCACCACCCATGGTCTGTACCTGACCGGCAACTTCGAAGTCGAGAAGAAGGTTCAAAATCCCTTACAACGCCAAGGCCTCATTCATAAGCTAATTACTCCTATTTTTAAACATCACAGTTGTCTCCGGAAAACGGATGGAGAGCCGAGTACCGCACATATTCAGTTTGCATTGGAGCCGGTGGTGCCCATTGTAAATGTCCAATGACCTAGGAGATCCAAGCGAAGGGTTTCAGCCACGCCCAGTTCAGATTAGAACCTAACACCATTTACTTCTTACGGGGTTCTTTTTTTCCTTCGAACACCGACAAAACTACCGACGACATGCTATTTTTTGAAGCCTCGGACCGAATTTTGGTTGGCCCAGTTGACGGTTTTGCCGGGGACCTCGTTGATTCAATTGGGGTGACCGGAGTAGGAATCATCACGGCCATTGAGCAAATGCCCGAGCCTAGAACCAATGGACTATTGCCAAACCCCGCTGATGGCGAGAAAATTGTTACTATAGTCAATGTGCTCCACTCCGATTACCACCCTACTGTGAGTTCAATTTCTCTATTTATTCACGTCTCCAACTCATTTGTTCCTTTTACAGTCTAAGGTGGCAAAACAGTTCAACGTACAGTACCGTATTCCTCCTACCCGTAATCTAGCAGGTACCCCGAAGATCCTCAGAGTTGGCCGCGAGTACCAATTCCACGGGTTTCTCAAAGACTTTGACGAGACCAATTTTTTATATATTGTGGTTGTAAGTCAAAAAGTTTTTACTGCTCCCATTCCCAATACTTCCTGATCTTAACAAATACAGGCCAGCAAGGTATGGCCAACTAACGGCAATAAGGAGTACGAAGTTGGGTCAAAATCCGACACCGATAACGGCGAAGATATTAAACCCAACGTATCAAGCAAAAAACCTGCCAAGTAAGTCGTTATTATTGATGATTAGTTAACTGCGACTGACCCCTGATTCACACCAGGTTTGTGCCAGCGCCTCTCAACGCACCCTTCAAGTCGCCCGTTGTCTCTACTGACCTTGCGTCCACCCCAACTCTCGCATTTGGTTCCCATGATTCTGGACCCCCGTCCATGTCCCCAGCGTCTTCTAGACCAACACCAGGACCATCCCACAGTTCTTCCGACACTGCCACCTTCAACCTAGCTCCAACTCCGCTAGGGAAAAAAAGGGGTCGAGCTCAACCAAAGCGCTCTGGTAAGAAAGGCAAGACTCTTGATTTGACCGAGGAAGCGTAAACCTTCCACCGAAGTGCGTTGCCACCCAACAGCCTTTTGACTCACTCGAAAATGTTAAGCGCCAAAGCCCTCTGTTCTTTTACTGCCTGAATTCGTTCTTGCCACCCAGATCAGTTCTTCATTAGTAATTAGATTCATTCCGAACTCTTCCCCTCCGCTCAAATGGCATACATACTCTCACATAGATTCACGAATCTGTACTAGGACAAAAAAAACATTTTTCTACCCTCACAGGGAATCATCACCGGCAATTCACTTCACAAATTACTTTTTGCAAACAATTAAAATTCTTCTTCTAATGCTGTGATGCAGTCGTAAATTTTCTCTTTGTTGTTGTTTTTTTAACTTTGCCGATTGCCAAAAAACATTACATTTTTTCAAAGAGCCTCAAACTTTCGAAAAAAAATTCATATTGCTCGGTTTGATCACTAAACATTCATCTATGTATGCTCCACTGTTATATATATATTTGTCTTGGGTTTATTTTATCACGCTGCTTATCCATGTCTCAGGACTGTGAAAAAAAATTGGTTTTCACCGGGTAGTCTGACGCGCATGAGTAATTCATTACGAATACTCCTATATTTCACAAGCGTGCCCGAGCCCAATTGGGCGTATGTTTTATTGGCCGCAAACCCGGCCTAAGAACCAATCTGTATTGACCCCAGTACCTGACATAGACGATCTTTGCCAGTGAAATTGCCGAATCAAATTCTCTTCATGTTCATTAACCCACTAACTATACTCCCACCTCCCACTTATTCACTATATCGCCGGCGGCATCTGGCAAGCAACTGGATTGCTAAATTTATCATCACTTGATACCTTCGGAAAACATTGCGCAGAGCCACCACTATCTCAGCCATTTGTTAACCTCGACAATGAAACATCATCCTTTATGCCTCGGGACGCTGAACGTCAAGCTTTCGCTGCCCGAAATAACCAACGCAACACAATATTCCGAAGAGTTGGCTTTGGTACTTGCAGCCGAGGTTCCCACGTGAAGGTTCACCTTGGACTTCACCCAAACTAGCAAGCAGCACATCAATATGCTCAAACTCCAACAATAGTACCCCTACGAGACGTTCGCTCGCCGATATAGTGCACACAAGGGAACCTGGAACAGAAACGTACTGCAGAATAATTACCAGCCAACCAACATCTCCATTTACTCCTTTGGCACCTAATCATAAACTAT